ACAGATACCTACGCCCATGGTGTCACATTCATAGCCATACACAAACAGATACCTACGCCCATGGTGTTACATTCACAGCCGTACACAAACAGATACCTACGCCCATGGTGTCACATTCATAGCCATACACAAACAGATACCTACGCCCATGGTGTTACATTCACAGCCGTACACAAACAGATACCTACGCCCATGGTGTCACATTCATAGCCATACACAAACAGATACCTACGCCCATGGTGTCACATTCACAGCCGTACACAAACAGATACCTACGCCCATGGTGTCACATTCATAGCCATACACAAACACATCTACACCCATATATGTTATGTATGCTCTTTCCTTGACTTGCTATTTACTCTTAGCTTTAATCATATTCTTTTGGGATCTTGAATTTCCTCTTGAAAAAAGCACCTTTGGGACGGTCTCTTAAACCGCCCAGAGAGTGCTGTAAAACGCTAAGAGGTAGGATATAAGTTTAAATGCTATTGCCACTTTTCTTTTTTTTTCAGAAATACTTACTTGTAACTTGAGCAAAACTTTACCAGAATGTAAACTAAGGATCAGGAATCAAGGCATTTGAACAGAAGATGCTGTCTTGCATCTTATCTTAGCTACTGTACTTCTTTTTAGTTCAATTTTGTTATTTTATTCAAAACGTTAATATACAAACTCCCAAAAAAGAAAAAAAAAACGAAACGAAACACAGCTAAGCAAGATCCCCCCCCCCCAAAGTGCATTAACAACACAAAACATACATATACATGTTTATGAATTAACTCTTGTACTTTTATGCTCTCCCATGTACAGGCCCCAAATCTATATACTGCTAAAATTCATGTCTCTCTAACCTTTAATTGGGCCAAACAATGCGTTATAGAGCAAAACATTAACAACCAAGGGACCTCAAAGAGGCTAACCAACAGAATGCTGGGCCCTTTAGTCCCATTGGAAAGACATTGTGGAAATTTCTTGCCGTCGTTAAGTGAGGACTACCTGTGCTTCTTGTCTCTGAGCCTTAGAAGCTGTCTTATCCCCATAAAATATAAACTGTGGTCTGGCTAATTTTATAGCGCATCATTTTATGAATCTACAAATTGTTGTTTGGTCTTGGCTAGCAAAGATAACCAACTTGCGGTTTTCATAGTGTGTTTTACGCTGATCTGTAATGAAATAGCCAGGTGGGTCCCTTGCTGCCTGCAACAGTTAAGAGAAAATGGAGAAATGGCTGCAGAGGCTTCCTAGCAGGGCTGGCTGTTTTGAGACATGTGGTTCCCTACTTCCTGGAGACCAAAAGAGCCTATAGCAAGCAAGAATGCACTGGAGCAGGCCTCTTCTGGGACAACTGGAGTAGAAAGTGACTATTGAAAAACAAAGATGGATTGAGAAAATTAAATATGTCATTAATGATTCCATGATAGCTGCATATTTTGCATAAATGTGGCGGGGAAAGAGAGGGAGAGAGAGAAGTGGGAGGGAGAGAGAGAGAGAGAGAGAGAGAAGGAGGGAGATAGAGAAGAGGGAGAGAGTGGGNCATACATACATACATACATACATACATACATACATACATACATACATAAATAGACACACACACACACACACACACACAGACAGACAAAACCAATACTAGCTACTTGCAGGCTCCCAGACTTCCTGGCCCGATCTCTGGACTCCTGCCCTGGCACAGAGGACCTCTCTCTGTTCACGCAGCTGGGCTTCAGAAGCCCAAAGGAAGCCCAGAGGTTCTGGGTGATTTGGGGGTGACCCAACCCCCCCTTCCAATCCTAGGATGGGGTCTATCCCATCAGGCCCCTCCATACACACCTGCGTTTCGGGGTCATCTGAGCCCAGGCTGGCTGCTCCCAGCTTCACCACCTCTGCCAGCTGCGTGATGGTGCTGGCCGAAGACTGGGCTGCTTGGGCCAATCTCTCCTGGCTGGAGGCGGCTCCGGAGACCAGCAGCTTGGTGTCCTCCACCAAAGCCTTTGCCGTCTTCAGGATGTTTTCCCTGGGGAAAGGAAGAGGGCGGAAGGCGGTGGGGTGAGCAGGAGCAGGGCACGACCTCCTTGGCATAAAGGGGGGCAAAGAAGTGGGAGCCGCTTATGCCGATTTTGTGAGGGCATTTCCGACTGATTGCCTCTCGCATCTGAATCCTCCTTTTGCATTCTACCCCCCCCCCCTTTAGCTTTAATCACATTGGGTGGCTGATATGAACTTTAAAAACAGACCAATTATTCTGATTTATGCTCAGCTACAATCAGAATTTCCAAAAACTGTAACCGTAATTAACTTTGAAATTAGGTCTAAAGAGTGGAGGCAGGTCCACATCTTATTTCTTAGCTCCAGGTGCAAAGTTCTGGGTTCTGGGATAGTTTTGTCTTTCTTACGATTTATCTTTACGGACAAAGAATTTATCTTTACCGAGTTGCCTGCTGTTTAAAGGCGAAAGCGGGGAAGGGGAATCTCATTGCTACTACTATTAAACCAACAACCGAGTGCACTTTCTTCATGAACCTCCACATTGTCGCTTCTTTCCAAACCCCCAAACAATTTCAGAGTAAACCTTCTCCCAATCCCCCCCCTCCCTCCCTACGTACTCAGCCTCACCTGTGATCGGCAAAGGATTCGTTGTTTTCAGCATTCAGCGTCCCAGCCGCAGCAAACAAGATGGTGGTATCCAGGTCAGCGATGATGCCGGAGACGGCGCTGGCAGCGGTGATGCACGCCTGGGTGCCCTTGTTCCCCGCCTGGAGAGCCGACAGCACCAGGGACACCTGTCCAAGAGAAGGGACCAAGGTGGGTGCAGGGATGGCCCATCGAAGGGAGGGAGGGAGGGAAGGGTGGGAGAGGCACCCACCTTTTCACTGACCGCCCGGGTGCATTCGATCAACTCCCGCTTCGTGTAGGCGTCGGTTGGACATATCTGCAGAGCCCCAGCTTTCTGCACCAGGAAGATGCAGCTGTGTCCAAGTTCTTGAACCCGGGTTCTGATCTGGAAGCCTATCTGTGGAGCCCAAAGGTGGCAGAGGGAAGAACAGCCGGTGAAAAGGCTCGTACTGTGGGTCTCCTTCCGAGCAGAGAGGGAGGGAAGGCGGCTGAAGGGCTGCAGAAAAAGCTAATCTGGAAGGCCCAGGCTGAGGATGGGCTTCCCGCTGCTTCAGACAAGCTTAAGGAATACTAGAAAACACCCCTCTGGTCTGTTTTAATTCAGAGCCAGCGTTATATTACTGTCTGTTATCACGATGTAGAATAAAAAGCAAATTAAAACCAGGACTAACAGCTTCTCTGAGCAACGGAGGGGAAGTAGACGAGAAGAAGGAAAAGCCCCATTAAAGGAAAGTTTTCTGTAATGGGTGAAAGGGAAAATTCCAAAGGTTTCTGATCCTTGTGTGGCTTCCTCACTTTTCTCTTCCCCCCAAATTAGAAGGAAGCTTGGCTTTTATTCCGAAAGGGGGATTTTATTCTCTGCATTCTCTAGGGGGGGATGCAGCACTTTCAACCGCTCCAGCTGCCCCCAGATCTACGGTGGGTGTACTGTTTCCCACAATCCCATGGGGCCGGGGGCAGGGGGCCTGGTGTACTGAAGGGGAGGCAAAGGTGGTGGCAGACCTCCTCTGGTTCCGCAGTCGCCGCTGCCATCCGGCCCTGGGAAGCCAGGTGTCCGTAGTCGGTGGTCATCTGTGAGGCCAGTCCTCCCAGTTCCTCTGGATTGGTGACCGCCTTGGTCATCTGAAAGGGCGGAAAGAAGGATGCGCATCCTAGTTTGCCACGTTGCCTTGCAACACCAACCGGAAGACCCGATGGGAGCTCTGGAAGACCCCGCCCCCAATTTCGCTGTCTCCCCCCCCCCCGTCTTCCTGCTAGTCTCCTCCAGTATTTTGACCCGTTTTATGGAGGGATTCTCTTGCAGGTGGAAGGTTCGGTTCTGACTTGGTCCGAACTGTCCCTCCAGGTCCCTCTTTTGTCCCTTGCAGAAGGCCCCGTTTCTGGACACTGGCCAAAGGGACCGGTCTGCCTTCAAGGGAAAGCGAGGTCAGGGGGGCCCAGGTGCTTCCCTCACCATCTCTTGGGCTGTGACTGCGATGGCCCTGCAGAATTTGACAACGGTGGTCTGGTAGTCGACAAAGGAGCCTTTGGGATCGGACAGGGTCCCTTCGTCCAGCTGCGTGGCAGAAAGGAGAGGGAAGGTTTTTTAAAAAGAGTTTTATTATTTTTTAATTACAAAAATGAACATCCCATCTCTCCTTCCGCCGTGTGTTGTCTGAGCACAAACATCTCTGTGCCACATCTTTCACATTCATATTAACATGATTTCCCTAAGTGTAGAATTATTATATATTGAGCATTTAAACGTCATAAAACTCTCCATTTTTCTTCTTAATGTTTTCTAGTAATAATATCACATCAACATTAAACATCGTTATTCTCATCATACACGCACTAACAGTTTTCATTTTATTTAAGTGTATTTTCTACTTATTTTTCAGCTTTCTTCATTTCTAAACCCCTTTTCTCTCTCTCCGACCATTGGTAAAATACTTGAGGGAAGATTCTCAGCAAGGAGGGGGAGGAGACCTCAATCTGGGGCACTCCAGAGCTGCTGGACTACACATCCCATAATTCGCAATCAGCCCAGCAACCAGCTTCAGGCGATGGGAGCTGAGGTCCAACACCCCTGCCCATCACCTAGAACAGTGTTTCTCAACCTTGGGAACTTGGAAGATGTCCGGACTTCAACTCCCAGAATCGCTGGCTGGGGAATTCTGGGAGTTG